TGCTTGGTCCAACTCTTCTCTGTGACCTCAATTTCCACTACACTGCCGACCTGCCTGGAATTCACGCTCGTCATCGTGAACAGAGCCGCTAACGCCTGGCCATTCCTCGCCCCCTCAGTCCTGCCACTCCCCTTCGCCGCAACGCCATTTCTACCGCTCGCCCCCATCTCACCGATCGCCGTCCCCAAGCTTGTTGAGGCGCTCACCTCCAGAAAACTGATGGGAACAGCTCTTGGAGTTGATGCTGCAATACCGACCCGATGCCAATAACTTCTACTGACCTTGCCCGCACATCAGAACCTTATTAATGTGGACGTCGACATTCTACCAACTACAGCCCTCGTTGAGACTGGTGCACACGTGCGTATTATGAACGCTGACCTTAGAACACGCTGAAGAAAGTCCTTACTCCTGGCCCAACGCCTGTGGTCCGAACTGCCGATGATAGAGAAGTCACCGCGATAAGTGTGTGCTGAGCTCGTGTCAGCTTCGCCGGACGTCACACATCAGTTCTGTTTTATGTTTTAAAACAGAGCCCTCAGGACATAATTTTAGGCCACATGTTTGGACATTTCGTCCGAACATTTGGCCTTGATAGGTTGTTCAGCCGGTATAGTGAAACTTGCTTTACCTAGTGTTGTTGATCCTTCAAGTTACCCTCCGAGTCGGCTCTGTTCCACAGAATACCTACATCTCCCTCAACGAGCAGTTGCTTACATAGGCGTCTCCCCTGTTGCACCTGCCCCAGACTGTGTTTATAATGTGACTCCCAATGTTAACGTCCGGCTTTCGCATAACGTTGCGTTTCTTCACACCATCGTCACTGTAATGGCCAACGCATCCTACCTACAACTAGTGAATTATGGCCTATGTACACAAGTTCTCATTCGTGTTATATCTCTCGCTGAACTCAGGCCGGTGGCAGAGTGCCATATTTGCCCTCCAAGTTATGACAGCATTCCGAGTGCCGAGAAAACTTCGCCTACTCCTCCATCAGACCAAAGTGTGTTAACCGAGATGATTGCACCCGAATCACCGAAAGAACAAGCTTATGACCTGCGCTTCTACTTGCATCTTTTTGGGGCATATTCGACATTGGCGACCACCCCCTCAGCCAGACGTTCTTTGTTAGGCACCGGATTAATACAGGCGATACGAGTCACACCCATCGGAGACCTTACCGCGACTCCCGTGCTGAGTGGCGTATCATCCAATAGGAAGTGGACCGAATGCTTTCTCGGAATATTATCGAGTTGTCATGCACTCCACGGACGTCTCCTGTTGTAGTTTTCAAAAAGACAACAGCTGGGATTTCGCAACAATTATCGGCATTTAAATAAGATAACGAAGAAGAACTACGATGCCCTGGAATACACTCATGGCACAAACTATTTTTCCTTCATAGACCTTTGCTCCGGGTACTGGCAAATAGCCGTTGATGATATGGGCCATGACAAGACGGCGTATATCACTACCGACGGCCTTTACCAGTTTAAAGTGATATCATACGGTTTATGCAACGCGCCGGCCATGTTCGAACATATGATGGACACCCTGTTGCATGGCATCAAGTGGTCTATCTGCCTGTTCTATCTGGACGACTTCATCGTTTTTTCGTCTTCTTTTGCGAGCACCTTGAAAGTCTATCAAAAATATTACCTGTATTTTGTACGGCGAGACTGCAACTGAATACGGCAAAGGGCCACTTTGGCCGTCGTGAAATTTTTGTCCTCGGAAATTCCGTTGATTCTGTTGAGGTTCACCCTGATCAAGATATAATACGGGTAGTAAAAGATTTCCATGTACCAACCTGTACCAAAGACATTCGCAGTTTCTTCGGCGTTTGTTCCTAATTCTGCCGCTTTGTTAAAAACTTCGCTGACGTCGCACGCCCTCTCACTAAACTCCTGAAAAGCACCACCACGGTGCTCTAGTGGCTAAGGTACTCGGCTGCTGACCCGCAGGTCGCGGGATGAAATCCCAGCTGTGGCGGCTGCATTTCCAATGGAGGCGGAAATGTTGTTCGTGTACTCAGATTTGAGTGTGGGTTAAATAACCCCAGCTGGCACGGTTATTTGCAATGGAAGGCACAAGAAAGATTGGCTAGTTTTTTTATTTTCTGTTGATGAAAACAGTCGCAGAATAGCCGCAGCTCTGTCACGCGAGAACTTACCTTCGACGCTGCTTTATTGGTGACTTGAAGCGGCTTACTCAGAAAAAAAAAAGGTTACCTCTCTGAGGCGTTAAAATAAGCCGTGTAATTATGCCTTTTTAACTTAACCTGTGTAGCACGTTTAAAAAGCACGTTTACCTCAAAACGCGTTACCTTTTTGTTTGGATAGCGTTGCCATATGTGAAGCGTTTTTCACGGTTTTCATTGTTGATATAACTGCAAAAGTCTTCTACACGTCAAAACAATATCGTTATACTCGCGTGATTTAAAGGTGTCGCTCAGTAACAGGGTCAACGATCGAGCATGTTATTCTGTCTGTGTGGGTATAGCTCAATGAAGTAGCAGCAAACGGAAGGTTGATTTAGACTAAGTTTTTTCTGATTATATATGCGGCTGCGTAGACACACCAGACAAAAGTGTATCGGCTAAGTCTGTTCTGGTTTTGGAGCGCTTCACGAGATTTTCACGTGCGAATTCACGAAAAAAAATCACTCAGAAAGCATATCGGGTCTGCCTACAGTCCGCGCGCCTTTCGCGACGTGAGCTTGAGCGTACGAATTGAGCCGCGGTCCTTACAAGTACTCAACGGTATTGTCTACAGCATGTTGTTGAAGCAATATTTCAAGCGTATTGCGGATGAAAGTGTCGCCAGGATCGCCCTTGTTGTTTACATGAATAGCTTCTCTAGCGCAATTGTTATATGCGAGGATTTACCGTAACAATCTGTGGCTATGTATTTTTACACCGCACATTTGCTCATTTCTCCCGAGAGCCCCTTGCTGAAGTGGGCCTGTCCTTGAATTAGTACAAATTGAAATGTGCACTTTTGGCATGGCTCCAGCAACGGCGACGGAACTTCAAGAATAAGCTACATTTACGCCGTTAAGATATACCTCATAAGTTTTGATGAGGTAGTTAAAGCTAGAGATACAGGTCAACATAGCTCACGTGTTCATTTCGGAGCCCCTCTACTGCGTCTCTCATAATCATATGGTGGTTTTGAGACGTGAAACCCTACATATCAATCGTTAGGAGCCCCTCTACAGCCACTGAAACTTCCTCTGTTGTGGCCGCCGCTTGTAAACATGCGAGAGGCGTCCCGACGCACTGTTCTCGAAGCCAGCTTGTGCACCTGCGGCGCTAGTTTTCAGGGCATCATAGAGGGTGGCGGCACGCTTTTAGCTGAAACGACTGGGCGGAGCCAACGCGCCGGGACGTCACTTGGCGCCTACTGTGTTTACAAACGTGGAGTAGGGGAAAATAAAGCACCCCTCCCCCCTCCCGCCACGCTCTCTTCTGCAGCAGCGTGGCTACGCTACCCGCCTAAAGGCAGCGCTTTGGAAATTGGTTTGTGCTGCCTTGGTAGTGCTAAACACAGCGCGCTTCTAACATATTTGTGCTGCACTGATGGGGGTGGCATGGGAAGGAAAGTTCCTGAATACATGGGTTACATCCCTGGTTCCGCATGTCACCCGTCCTAATGAATGAAAAATGCCGCCCACAAGTGAACACAGTATACAACCTATGACCAATAAAACGGCATAGTATGCGCTGTACGCACGTGTTATCATGAATTTGCATGCTAGAGTGGTTGCATGCTTGCGTGCATGCTCATTAATCACCAATCACTTCCTGGATATGCGGTATTTTTTCTCATGCTTACACTCTAAAACGTACGCAGGAATATCAGTATACAACTGTGTATGCTATTGCAATTTACTCGAAAGCACTCGTGAACACGACCTCATGCTGCATCAGTTCAGGCCAAATATTCAGGGTATTTAGCGAGCTTTTTCCCTTAATTTCATACTTGACTGAATGCCTCGAATTATAGGAGCTTGTATAAAAGCATACAGAAAATGTATCTAATGTAAACAGGTCAATTAAAGCCTACGAAAGCATGGACGCACCCCACTCACCTTTAACAGGCGCGCGTTATCTAGGTCTGCTACTCTATAAGTACGGCCACCCCCAAGCGTCACTTAAATCACTGAACCACCTCGTAAAAATACGACGCAACTACAGTTAAATGTGTTCGTGTTTCCTCGTGTTCAAGACTGTCAAAGCCGCACCATATTCGAAGGAACAGGTGAAACTGAGCGAGAGAGTGGAGAGGAAGAGACGCAGACTGGACGGCGGCAAACGCAAGCCTTGCCTTGTGCACATAACGTACACGGCAGTGTCTCAAATATGGTGGTAGATCTAGATGCAGTGCCACAGAGTCAAGTGGCCCATGAGGAAAAGATGACTCTTAAGGTATGAATACATCTTATAGAGAGATCCACAAAATATTTGAAAGAAGTGAGGTAGCACGAGGTTTTCTCACTGTTTATTTTTCTAATAGTGTAGGCCAAACCTAAGCGTCAGAGTAACCACATTCTAGCCGAAGCAGACCCTCAGCGCTACGCTCCACTTTCTGTCACACTTTTCGCCACCTGTGACTAAGACCAGGTGAGGTTGCATCAGCACTTTCTGTATTTTTAACTCATGACCATGCGACAAATTGGAGGTGGACGCACAGCTTACGCAGATATGTGTTTCGTGCACCTAGCTATGTTTTATGTGTCTTCTCTGTCTAAACATTTGCGTAATAAATTCAATTTTATTATTCTACCAACTATTCCGACTGAAAACATTAATAAGGTTATGTGTTTATGTTGTCATTTTTTGTTGCTCACATAAACAAGAGGACACGCAGCTTATGCGAAGATTTTACATTATTTTGTGCATCACAAAACCTTCCTACACAAAGATACAAGGATTTTGCATTAGAAATCTATTACTTTGCATCTCTTAGACTTATTGAAAAAAATTTCATGTGACTCACCACATTGAAGTGAGAATAGTGCCTCCTTTCTCTGGCGATGCGATGCATGAGATGTAAGAAGGGCAAGTGAATGAGGTAGACGCCGAAGGAGAGTTGGCTAAGCGGCACAAATCCATTCCAGGATAGAAACTTGTTGACAAATCCTTTGGTAAATAATTGTAACAAGACAAAAATTGCAATCATGTGAATTACAGTAGAATGCAGCATATTAGGTGTGCGTATGAAAAATAATAACAATGTTCACAGGAACAAACAGTAAGAACAATTAATATTAGTTTGTAATATTGTATGAACTGTTCCCCTCACGTTTACCAACACTAAACAATAGGAGAAATAGAGCATTATATTAGCAATAATAAATTAACACATATGTTGAACTGCTGATTGTTAAACAATGTCACAGGAGTCCTCAGCTCAGCAAATTATTGCTTAAGCAAATGCAAAATTGTCAAATGCAAGAAACAAAGAAAAGCCTGGAAACATTGGGTATTGTGGCCATTGAGCGAAATAAAGTTCTGTAAAGCAATACCACGGATCACACGGAACCTCATTACCTTGATATCTTTCTTGATTTAGGAGTTGCGCGAGACTTCACTGTTAGCACAGAGAAATTGTGTCTGCGTTGCCTGTGGTCTGCGGCCCCCTGACACCACAGGGATGCAGCACCAGTTACTTTGGGTCATTTAGCTAACGTCAAGTGATCTTCGTTGAGTAACTTTATGACTGATAATATAATCCAAAACACCACCTTTGCGCCCCTTGTTTCGCATTATTACATTGAAAATAATATTAAAGCATTTTCATGCATGAAAACCACCATATGGGTGTGTTAAACTGATCAAACCAAGAAACAACTAACAAGTAAAAAACTAGGATACTTTTTTTCTGGTTCCTTAGCAGTAATCGTATTATTCTCACAAAAAATGAAAGAAAGTAAAATGAAGTTAAAATCCTTCTTTCTGTTGGTGGGACCCAAACCCGCAACCTTCACAGCTGTTGGTTTCATATCAGACTACTCCTTTCCACTCTTTTCATCATGCAACGCTATATCGTGCTTTTTGCGGGCACCGTAGTGTAAACCACTGCCGAACACACTATTCTTCTTTAATACGGCATTGCTGAGGGATGGCATGCCGCAATGCTTCTCCTCACAGTACCAAATACGTTTGTGGCCACAAAGACGTATGCCTGTAATCACGATACTCGTATAAGTTTCGAGACTTTCTTGCCATTCATCGATCAGCAAGTAGCCATGTCATTTCGAGTAAACTTCAGCAGATGATAAATGAAGAGTTAATGAGATGGTCCAATTACACATAAATCAAGTGTAGGGCTTTAATTACCACGCTTGTATACAAGCTCTAGTCAAACTAAGACAGTTTGCAATGGTCTCTACAAAGGCCATTCGTCCAGGTTTCGCTTAGACTGTGTGGCATGTATGCGCCACGTAGTTTTGGCGTTCATTTTTTCAGTTTCTTTTAAATGCATGAGTTTGTTTCCCAAGGTATTATCTCTTTTGCTTATGAAGACCGCTCATATAGGCTAATGGTTTGAGGCGTCCTGAAAATTCGTATTTCTGTAGCACGCGCACTCTTTACCAGAGCAGTCTTGCCCGTTCCTTTTTGCCGTCTTACCTCCTCTGCCTGAGATGCAAGCGAATGAAAACCAGGAAATGCAGATGGACCAGAGTAGGCGGTCACTGAATGAAACGATCATCCTTTTGATCAATGTAGCCCGTTCATTGCTGCGGTGCCACTCAAGCTTCATGAACAGGCAGCACAGGCCACAAGATAAGGCGATACACCAAAGTAAAGCTTGCATCACCTGCACACATAAGTGATCAGAGCAGAAAATGAGGAAACATTTTGTAGATTAAGGAATCATGATATATCATATATTGATTCAAGCCATAAGAACCGTTGGGCATAGCATTTGTATTTAAAACCTCCGGAACATTTTGCATACCCTGTTTCCCTATAACTTGAAAGAAGAGCGCAGAACGGGACTCCTTTTTTAATGTGAAGCATTCAATCGTAACCAAAGGCGTACTGTTATTATGCGTGTAGGTACGTGCAGACCCGTTCACGTGGGCCTAGAACACGCAAACAGCCAGCGTTGATCGCCGTAGCGACACCTTGTGATCATTGCGGGATCGGACGTGTTTTGCTCAGGAGCATTCGCGGCCTGCATTAACTTTATTGCATGCATAGAAAACTTCATTCAATGCCCTTAAGTGCACGACTTAACATGCAGCGAGCCACCCTCATGGTCAGAGAGTCATTTCAAGCCTGAGTGCCGTATCGTGGGCCCTTTCTACAGCCCATAGTCGAGCCCTGGCATTGGGGCGTTTGATAGCAGGCAGCCACTTCGTTGACTTGGTGTCGGCCTTGAAACGAGGGGCAACGCTTGTGGTGTAGGCTAGTTAATTCGTTGTAGTGCGTACAAGAGCCACTGAGATAAGTGTGGGGACAAGTTTTACGTAATAAAGCCGTAATGAAATATGAACCCGCCGCAATATTCTGAGTGTCAATTCCAGTGCTTTCTTTGTTGAACTTCTTGTGAGAAACGGAAAGGCTTGCCTGCGAAGATAAAATACTGTGTAATTTTGTTATGTAGGATCGGTTATGGATCTGTGTTTTCTATTGCAGCGGCCTGACGGGAGCCTTCGCACAGTAGCGGAAAGCGGGAATGTGTACGTTCGTGTGTGCCAGCTCATTCATGTTTGTGAGACTTCCGATGATGGATACCATGAGAGCGGATAACCACGTGAGTGTGTGGGTGGCAATGCTTTTGGCCTTAAAGATGCAACAGCCTTCTTTGCACATGGCGTCAACGCTGAAGAAGGGGGTGGCTACACTCTCAGTGAGGTGCCGGATAACGAACGGCATAGAGGCAGCTCACTCCTACGTGCTGACCATAATCCTGTTTGTAAGGAACCCAGCAATTAAAGATACCCGTGAAAGCAGTGCGGTGCGGAAGTAGTGCCTACAGCAGGCAAGAGCAGGTGCAAGAAGGAGAAAAAAAGGAGAAAGCCGCCGCCTCTGTCGCACCAGCCCCGGTACGTACCCGTAAAAGGCGCCCGCGTCCTGCGTCAGCGTATGAAGACACGTTCAGCGATGAGCGCGAGCTTAGAAAAAAAAGGGGGAAAGAAATGCCGCCCCTCCCCAAGCCACCACCTTGCAAGCTCGGCTCACGGCACTGGCACCAGCTGACCACACACGCGTTCACCGTCGCCTGCCGTGGTATTTGTGCGTCGCGGTTTTGTGCGGCTATCTTGTGATGGTCGTTTCCGAATGGCTCGGTGGTGTCAACCATGTTTGCGTATTTTGTGCTGGCAGCTTTACAGAATTCTAGAATTAACATGAACAGAACTTGGCGCTGCGTATCTGCAAGCGCATTCTTTTTGTGATGGCCTCCAGCCTCGAGCGTTCTGCACTGTAATGCGTGCGTGCAATACGCACGCTGCGTGCTTGGTACGATCAGATTGATTGATTGATTTATGGGGTTCAACGTCCCAAAACCACCATATGATTATGAGAGACGCCGTAGTGGAGGGCTCCGGAAATTGTGACCACCTGGGGTTCTTTAACGTGCACCCAAATCTGAGCACACGAGCCTACAACATTTCCGCCTCCATCGGAAATTGGTGCGATGAGAAAACCAAACGATAAGTAATGCTTTTGTGTTATGTTTGCTCGTCCGCATCACCACTCGGGTGCTTGCGGGTGTCGTTCTGCGCTTATCGTCGCAGGGAATGTGAAATTAAAAGCAAGAAAAGGAACGGCAATAAAGGCACATATATAGAAACGTTGTGAGGTACCTGATGTGCGTGTGAAAATGGCTGTGAGGGCATTATTTACATACTTCACACAGCTAGTTAACTGACGCGGGAGCTCGCTGCGTGGAATATGTTTTCTGTGGTGTGATTGCTTGCGATAAAGCACGCAGGCAGTTACTTGCTTTCAGGAAATCAATACTCAAGCGAAATGCCTCGTTTATTGCGCGGTCATGTGGTCATATGTGCGGGAATTCGAAGTTTCTCTTCGTTTTTCCTGGTCTAATACCTGACTTGTTTGTATTTATCGTAAGTGTGGTCTTGTGCTAGATAATAATGTCTAACGTAAGGGCGCCCTCGCCCCACAGCGGTGTTCTAGTGGCTAAGGTACTCGGCTGCTGACCCGCAGGTCGCGGGATCTAATCCCGGCTGCGGCGGCTGCATTTTCAATGGAGGCGGAAATGTTGTAGGCCCGTGTGCTCAGATCTGGGCGCACATTAAAGAACCCCAGGTGGTCAAAATTTCCGGAGTCCTCCACTACAGCGTCAATTATATTCATATGGTTGTTTTGAGACGTTACACCACACATCAATCAAGCGCGCCCCCGTTTTCCAGATTTGAGAGAGGACAGAAGTGAAATACCCTGGACATGCTTGTTCCATAGCCGCACAGCTGTGCACATGTGACCAACTAAACTTTTATTGAATAAACACTATAAAATGTCATTATCTACACATATTTTTACTGAGCACGAAAACATCTCATGACAACCCTTTTTGTTGGAAGAGTGTCGTCATGAGCTAGTTTTTTACATTGTGAAAACATGTGTATATATATTTGTATTTTAAAGCAGCTATTTCGATAAAATTAACATTTGAAATTCAGTGCTCGTTTTGTCTTCACTCGTAGTTTTTGAACTTGGTAGTGCCAAGCAAGTAAACGGGCTTAACAGGGCAAACAGTTGATAGGATGGGCTACTAGCATCTTTTTCCATGCTTACCGCTGTTAGGTATTTTTTTCGTTCAAGTAGACCTAAAGAGCTCTGTGATTGCACGTCCAGGGCTGGCTGGCAAAGGGATACTCAAGGTAATATCAATTGTAAATCAGCAATAAAATTATTCAGGGAATATACATTTCACAAACGGCCAAAGCAGGGTACAGACTAAAGCTTTAATAAACACGCACTTTTAGAATTCAGAATTCAGTGTAATGGGCAAAGTAGGGTGCAGTTGCCGAGGGAAAAGTGATTGGCATATTGTAATCCATGGACAAAGATGTATATAGCATTATATTGCACTTGTTACTGTAAGTGTTCTTTCACTATATAACGTGTACCTTAGGTCAGATTCTGTTGCGCCACAAACAAGGTATGTGACTGGTATGTGAGCCATTTATATAGTTATAAATTATTTGTTTCATCGATGTTGACACACAATACGTGTTGTTGTTTTGCATTTTTGTGACATAGAAAAGCTTTTGAGCTGCAACCTACATTTTAACGCCACTATAGTGAACAAGACGTGTACCAAGTAATTTAAGTCACTCACTACTTGTATGTTTAATACCTTCCTGTGAAGTCTGGTATTGTAAAATATCGTTTTTATCCTGTTATTGTAGAATACCGTGACATAAAATATTCAGACATTTTGTTTAATTTGAAATATTTGTGAAATACTTTCTTTTTTACTTGAGTTCTCGATATACTCGCTGGCGATGAAATAAACAGAACGGTATTGTTTGCATGCATAATGAATTTGACCTTCTGATATGTCACAACACCATTTGTACATAAATTTATGGCCAGGACTCTATAAATACTGCCTTGAAGGACACCCGTTTTCTTTTTATGTAGTTTATGGTTTAATATAAAGTCTTCAATTATGTGCATACATGTGCCGATTTTATGTAAACATAAATTACCTGTCGTGGGAGACTCGATGCCTCTGAAGCTTCGTTATTATAAAATTACGGTTCATAGAATCATGTCCTCGGATGACGTGTACAAATACACCGAATAATTGTCAATGTTGAACTTCTCCAAACGACGATGCGCTCATGGGGAAGGCCGCGGTGAAAAGCCCCAGAAATTTTGAGCAACTGGGCAACGCCTCTTTTATTTCAATGCTAGTGCAAACGAGTGCTAACCTTAGTTGAGGAAGTGGTCGTGATGCGACACTACATGGTGAGTAGCGCTGCTTGCGTCACATGTGCTTCTGAGCACATTCCTCCAGAGATGCGATAGCCATGTTTCCCACTACAATATCATAAGTCTTTGAGATTTGTTCTTTCGTACGCATTGTTTGTGGCACGAATCAATGACACCGCAAAATCACAGCACAGCGCATGCAGTCGTGTTTCAGTGGAACTTCCCCATGGATTACCCCCAGAGCACCACGAACGGCGACACGCTATCTCATAACAGCATACCTTTTACAAAGCCAGCGTGCAAGCCATTAACGTGAAAACGAGGAATGCGAGACCCACCCCACGGAACGGCAAACAAGTGAACAAAATATCAGTTCATATGATTTTACTCGTTCCGCAAAGCAGACGCGAAGGTTATGTGATGGCTTCAGGAGAGGGTTGTGAACGGTCGGATTGGACGCATCTGACTGGTATTGATAAAAAAATGAAGCATTTACCTGAATTTATTTAACGCGCACCTAAATATAAGCACATGGGCCTCAAGCAATCACAGCTTCATCGAAATTGCGGTCAGCGTTCAATCTCGCCACTTTCGCGTCAGCCGTCAAGCACCATAACCCTTGACTACCTGGAAGGTTTGATTGTATACTATGCGAATTTTGCCGTCCCAAAACCGCCATATGATTATGAGAGACGCCGTAGTGGAGGGCTCCGGCAATTATGACCACCTGGGGTTCTTTAACGTGCACCCAAATCTTAACACACGGGCCTACAACTTTTCCGCCACCATCGGAATTGCAGCCGCTGCAGCCGCGATTCGATCCCGCGACTTGCGGTTCTACCTAGAGCATGATATGTAGTACTGAAGCCTGAAGCTTTCTTTCTAAATTTTCCAGTTCATTGATGCGACCAGCCTTTGCTGGCACCGGAAATCCAGAGTTAAGATGCCGAAGCAGGAGGAAGTTGAACTGAGCTGAGGATTTTTTTACATTATGTACAAGCCGAGATCACTCTGGCCCAAAGCTCTACATTGAAAACGCTCTACACTGAAAAGCTCTCCATCTAAAAGGCTCTCTGAGCAGCCCGCGAGGGCTGATTTTAAATAGTCTAATTTCCCCAGATCCCTAAATCAGGAAATAGGTCCATACTGCACTATTCAATAACAGGTCCCACAGCGCTGACGAGGCTCATTATGCGAGCACCGCCAACAACATACAAACATACGAAACCTAAACTCGTGCATGGTCCCGGCAATGCTGGTGAATTTCGCTTCCAGCAACTAAGGTGTGATGAGTCACATCTCGCTGCTTGGGCCAACCATCCTTGTTGTTGAATGGCATCGGTGACCTATTAGCCAGAGATGCACAGCGCGGTAATCCTGTCCGATGTTCATCTTCGGTAGAACCTGGGTGTTTTGGCCATTGAATGGATGGATTGATTGATATGACTGTTTCCAATAGATCAGGCGGTGGCTAATGCCACGAAGCCGTAATACTTAGTGAACCAAACACTAGATTTATTTTCCCTTTAAATAGTGAGGTTGAGGACTCATATTTTGCAGTGAAGTGTTTAATTTTCACTCGTGCCTTGACTTTAGCCACCAATCAGATAACCTCCTTCTATTTAATTCTACCCGCTTAAAATCTATTTTGCCCTCCCTGTCCCTAAACTTCAGTGCTTTGAAAAACTCTGCGCCATCAACCTGAACTATAGGGTGAAGTCCTTTACAGAACATCAAGGGATCGGCAGTTTCTTTCTCCTCTCCACATGCACTGCATCCATGCCTACCCGTTCGTATTTGGCCTGATATGTCTTGGTTCGCAATACTCCCGTCCTGGCCTCAAACAGTACAGAACTGCCCCGAGTATTATCATAAATCATTTCCTTGCCAATTTCTTGCTTAAAAGTTTCATAGATCTCTGGTGCGGACTTTTTAATTAAGCCAATTCTGCACATATCGGTCTCAGCTTCCTTCACCTTCTTCTTTTTGGTTTGGCCCCCTGCTGTTTTCTAAGTATTTACCAGCCAATTTTCAGGTTCGCTTGCTCCATTTTGTATCAACATTCTTCATGTACAAGTAGCTGAATACCTTCCTAGCTCAACGCTCCTTCCCCATTTTTCTAGATCGCTTCTCAAAGTTGATCTAGCTGCTAGCTTCCCTACCCTCAAATGATGTCCATCCCATATCATCTTGTACTCCCTGATTTGGTGTATTCCCGTGAGCTCCTAAGGCAAGCCCACCTATTCCACGTTGCTTAATGTCTAATCTTGCTTGAACTTTTGATCTTATGCACACGACCGCATTGCAGCCTCCGCCGCTTTCCTGGGACACAAAGACGCCAACTGTCGCATTCCCGCGATGGCCCCAATGACAGCTGTGCTCTGTCAAGTTATTGCAACCACGCACAACCAAATACATGAAGACAGCAGGCCATCTTCGCCGTGCTTCTTATCTCCATAAAATGAGGTGGCCGCTTTTGTTCCGTGAAGGCAGCCGCGGCTAAAGGATGGCTTGCTTAACGCAACATTATTGTCTTTCCGGTCAAATACTACACAATGCGCAAGTTTTAAAGCCATACTGCACCTTGCTGAACTGCAAAGGTTTCCACAAACGGATGCTAAACAAAATAATCTATTTTCCAGACCCTGAAAACAATTCGCAGTTATAGTATTCGGCTTTAGTTCTTAATATTGAGCTGGTGGGCCTTCTTTGTAATGAAATTTCTTCATCAATATTCATTGTTATCCAAATTTGCCTGTCAAAACAAAGGTACTCTTGATATTTATTTCATATATAGGGCATCTCTTGCATATCAAATATCTCTGATGAGTGCTTTCCGCATGTTATGCGAATCATAGTTTTTTCAGCTTGAAAGTGTCTATATTTTTGAGCAGGCTTTTTTGACATACGTTGATGAAAACAAAATGCACCTGAGGTTGAAGGCAAAGGAGAGAGCGGCTTGCGGGTGCATATATGGTTATATTTACTCTAGTGGTACCCGCGGTTGGGCTAGTTTGCGTACGTCTGGAATCAATACCCTAATACGCATGAAAATCTACACTATACTGAAAGATGAAGAAACACTTAGGCAGGATTGCGCTCACTTAGAACTGTCTCTTCCTTGACTAATAATTTTAAATAATCCACTTTTTGCTAAATCATGCTGAACGTGCTTGGTTCTTCATAATCATGATCTGGCCCAATATCTAAACACCAAACTGTTGGCTCGTACAGGTTGACTGAATTCTCGCATACGCAACTTGTACCCCACTTCTTTAAAAAAATACCTTGAAAAACAAAAAGAGCACGTGCTATCTTGTTTTTTTTTTGTCAGACCATAATATCCGTAAAGCGCTGCGTGCCTCCACATATGACACGCGTGCCAACATGTGCCCCGTCCTTATTTTCTGCAGTAAGAGCGTGCTCCCACTTTTTACCATTGGTGGCTCCATGCCCCCTTTAGACAACACAGCTTTTTTCTGCAGGTTAGAGCTATTTCGTAGGTCAAAAAAAATTTAAAAATGACCCCGCTGAAACGCGTAGGGACAGCCTGAGGTGGCATCTATATCACATACCAAAACACCGTAGGGCATTGTTGAAGTACCCTGCATTATGTTGTGTCACTGCCAGTGAAGATAGTAAAGTCACTTATAACTGCTGAGGTTTTATGTGCACAAGCCACGACATGGCGAAGGAGCACTTCTTAGGGAACTCCAGACTAATTTATACCTGCAGAAGCTCGTCAACGTACGCACAGTTTTCAGCAATATGTGATCACTCCACTGCGCTTCAGTCGAAATGCCGCTGCTGTTGCATTAAAAGTTAACTGATTTAGCCTTAAACACTAGAAGATAGCGCACCGCTTCTGTATCTGTCTGAGCACATGAGGATCGAGATGAATTCTTGTCCCAGCATACACAAAACCAACTTCGAGGGGATCAATTTTAGTTAACAAAGGCGGTTCAGATTGTCTAAATATCCGAAGTAGGTATTGCAGTTATCTCAGCAGCTACGTAGAACAAAAAATTGTTGGGATCTTATGCTTTCAACACTGGTGGATGATGGCACAAAAAACGAATCGTCGTGGCCCGACAGGTAAATAGATGAGAACTGACACAGCAATGAAATTACACATGCTGAAGTAGGTTAGAGTTCACTTCTACGGTTCTTTTATATGACTGAAACCTAAATAGTGTGGTATAAACATTTGGTTCAACCGAAATTATACCGCTAAGCTGCATGACAAAAAAATCCCATGGCTTACCTTTGAGATTTCAGCCTTGCCATATTTTTTGACCAGAAAAAAAGTGATGCAGCCAGAGAAGAAGCACACGGCGTGGTAGAAGGGCAAGTAATAGGAAAACCGGAGTGTGTCATGTAAAGCGCTGCGGTAAAAAGAAGAACACGCCATACATTGTTTTTAAATAATAATAATAATATTAATAATAAAAATAACGGTTGGTCTTTAATGTCGCAAAACTACCCTAGGATAATGAGAGACGCCGTTGGGGAGCGCCCCGGAAATCTTGGCCCCCTGGGGTTTTTTAGCATGCACGTAAGTGTAACCATACGGGCCTCAAGCATTCACGCCTCCATCGGGGAATATGCTGCCGTGGTCGGGATTTGATCCCGCGACCTGTGGGTTCGCAATTGAATGCCTTAGCCACTGTCGCGTATTTCAAATATAAGCAATATATTTGTAAGTTTATGAGGAAGAATTACATTGGTAATCTTAGAAAGGAAGGCTAACAAATTTAGAATATCACGGAGATGTATCTTCGTTCTGCAGCATACAAAAACAGCATTAGCTAGTTTAGCTGATACCTGCTGATGCGTTTCACTCTGTCTTATACAGTATTGCTCCTCGGTACTGTTCTGGAGGACGCTTGATACGTGTTAATTATTTTCTCACCAACAGGCACATAGTCTAAAATATTGCAGTAACTTGCGCGACTAAGGATGAACGGGTATGCAATAATTAGATGGTTTTTATGAATATTTTATGCTAACAGCGATAGAATTGTGTTTTGTATAACTGCGTTCATTGTTGTCGCTCATGATTCTTACCACAAGACGTTTTAGGTTCCCCGCTTCAGAATAGGTAATAAAGGTTATTGCAACAAAACAAATTCTGCCACTTTTACGGCGCACGTGAAAACCATCGGACAGTGAAGCTGCAAGTTCGCGTGAGTAGTTGATGGCGGGCAGCAGTGCTAGGTTGTATAAAGTATACATGTACCTTAGATAGTATCTTAGATACTTTCTAGGCATTTTTTGTCTGTATCACGATATGTCTCGCAAAATGAGAATGTTTTTGTGTATTTTTGAGCCCCGCCGTGGTGGTCTAGAGACTAAGATACTTGGCTGCTGACCCACAAGTCGAGGTATCGACTCCCAGCTGCAGCGGCTGCATTACCGATAGAAGCGGAAATGTTCTGGGCCCGTGTGCTCAGATTTGGGTGAACGTTAAAGAACTCCAGGTGGTCGAAATTTCCGGAGCCCTCTACTATGGCATCTCTCATAATCCTATTGTGGTTTTAGAACGTTAAACCCCACAAATCAATCAATCAATATCTGTACCTTTGATACATTCAATAACGTACTGTGTATATAGATACAATACTGCGGCGGAGGTACCCCACGAAGAACAATAAACGTCGACTTGAGTTCCGATTATCAAGGTGAAATCACTGCCGCTAAGCCACCTAAATAAAACTAACACCAGTGAAGATTTTGTATACCTCCCACAGAGCCCTTAAACAGAGTATGGTAGAACAGTGCCAGCAACATGCTTCGAAAAGCGAACCCTGAAAAGGGCCAATCCGCATGGGGCGCTGCTGCCGGTAGTCCGCAACCTGTGGTTAATTTAAGAGTTGCGTGTGGCTCCGCCGAAAGTCGTGCAGGAATAGAATGCCCGTTCTCCCCTGAAAACGACATATGTTGGAATCGTAGCTGTGGATGTTGAGTTTTTACTTATGATTGTAACGTCATATAGCTGCGCTGTTTTCAACCTTTTCTAAACATACCTTCAGGAGGTACACAAAAATTAATAAAGAATTAATAAAGAATTAATAAAGAAAAATTAATAACAAAACGCTGCCATGCCACTGCAGTGGCTCGGCGGAACATCCAATGCACATCGCTTGTAACATATTGTTACGTAAAAATGACACGAGGCGTGGCTATTACATGCTATATTTACACAAATGCGCATAGTATCGACTAAGATGGAAGACAGCACACACAGCATACCGACCATACAGTTTCCTAAAATTAACTAGAGGAGACTCTGTAGCTGCGATCTTTCAGTGACCAAGAGAATGACGCACATTTGCCTAGTCTTGGTACTTGCGGGCAGCGAATCGTACTTGCGGCTTCGTTTATTTCTGTGTTTTGGTTTTGTTTTGAAAGAAAGCTTCAACACTTTTGAACTTCGTGACCCGATTTGGAAAGGTAAGTCTAAAAGAATAAGGTGGTGAAGCACAATCGCTGAACATTTGCAGAATTTTGCTTCATGAGAAAACAGCTCCAAGCCAAACGAACAGACACGGAGCCAAAATCAGGCCAGAAGTACGAAGATTAGACAAATGTGTGTACTACCCATCATTCCCATGCTCGCTCAAGCGCCGTGCGTTGCAGCTCCCATAGACACTAGCGTTAGAGTTCCCTCTAGTGTATACTAGGAAACTCTATGCTACACACAGACAGATGAACTTTATTTGCGTTCTGGGAATAAGGTTCCTAAGAAACCACCAAGGGCTGCACCCGCGACGGGGTCAGGGATCAAAGGTTCTCGATCGCTTCACAGGCTCCCTGGACCACTCGGAGTTGTTTCGCAAGTTGTGGACTTGCGATACAATCTAAAGAGTCTGTCTCGTTTATGTGATGCCTCTTGTTGAAACGCGCATGCGGGGGCTCCACCACATCAAATGAAGGAAGGTGGCGGGCTCGTCGCATGCCGAGCAGCTAGGATAAATGTCCGTATACAGCGCCACAGAGGCCGGTGACGGAAAAGAGCTAGTTTGGAGGAGTCGGAGAGCTATCCGCTGTCTCCTTGTTCTCTCTGGCCAAATCTGGAAAGAATTTCCTACCTAATCGGTAGTGCGAAGAAAACTCATGAAAGGTGGTCAACGGCTCCCCGTCGTTGCCATCACCACTCTCCTTCCCTCAGTATGAGGGAGGCTCGGTAGCCCGGGGCGGAGAATGAGTCCTCGCGACCTAGCGTGAGCCATTTCGTTTGGCTTGGTGATGTCGGAGACGGAGGCACCCATCCACTCTAAGGGTGTTAAAATGGTGTGTGGTTTATCCTTTTGTGGACTAATGGAACTGCCACAACCATTATTCTCTTTAAGAACTAACGCCACTGGGTCTAACAGTTAGCCCTCACAGACGACCTCAAGGAACTAACGTTTAGTCCTCACATATAAACCTTAGTGAGTAACCGTTAGTCCCACAATTCACCTCAAAGGACTAACAATTAATCATCACATTTGGACCTTATAGAGCAACTTTCAATCTCCACATTTACACCTTACCGGGCAACCGTTAGTCCTCACAGTTGCACCTTGCCGGACAAACAGTTGATCTACTCAAATACTCCAAGCGGATGGACTTTTTGTCCCCAGTTCAAACATTGTTTTTGTTTATTTTCCGCCAGACATATGCTTTTTTCACCTGTTTTTCTGTGCAGTTAGCAACATATTGCACGAAAAAAGAACACACGAAAAAATAGTTAGCCACTTATGTGTAACTGCGTTCGCAGTCACGGCAACAATGATAGACAAAAGTGAGACACCAAAATCTTTTATTTTTCCACATACACATGAAGTTTTTTCCATTCTTTTAATTGAATTCATGGTGAAGTGTACAACTCCAGTCTGGTTGTCAAATCTTGCTCACTCCTTGCGGAGCTCCTCCGACGGAAGCGATAGATGACATGCATTGCAGACGCCAGCGCACGCAGCCTTCTGCCTGTTGTGTTGCCACGGCTGCACGTACAATAATATAATAGAAATAGTTAGACACACGTGACAGAATATTAAGATGCACGCATATGACAAGTACGTGCACGTTAATATAAAAACAAGCGTTAAAATTTGACACACAAATAACTTTACCTTCACATCTCCACAGTTCAACTGAAGCTGCTCTGACGAAAGGGGTGGATGACAGGCATCGCAGACGCCAGCGACACAGTCTTCAGCACGGTGTGTGCCCATGGCTGGACAATAAGTATGTGTAAATAGTGAGTCACACGTGACAGAGGGTGAATACAAATGCATATGAGAAATACGTGCAAGGTGAAATGAAAACATTCGCGAGATATGACATGCTAATAATTTCACCATGATGTCACACATCGTCAAAGACTCATTTCAATCCCCGTAGCGCAACAGCTTAGGAGCGGCGGCCGCAGCCGCAACTCCGAAAACCACCGTGCCGCTAAAAAGTCGGCGAGTCCTAAGAGAGCGACGTCGTTCAGTTCGAGCAAGCGAATTCGAGATCAAGCACGACGCTGCACGCGGAGTGTCGGCCGCCAGCGAACTTCGAACAGGAGAGGGAGCGTACGCTTGGCCCCCGCCACGAACAACACCGAGCTGGTTTGGAGCTAGTGCCGAAGAAATCGACGGTAAGGTGGCCTTTTTTCCACAAACTCGAGCGAGTGCAGCGCGCAAACGCGAGTCCCGCCGCCGCGGCCAATGGATGGCGCCGAGCTGCTTGCGACTGGCTGACAGGAAAGTCAACTGTAAGGATGACCAATTTTCAGTGAGTTCCGACGCTAGCGAAAGCCCCGCGAACCCGTGCTGGTGCACTTAGAGCGCGCGACATACTACAACCAAGCTCTTTACGAGAATCGCAACGTGTTTTCGACGACTCCCAACACAGCGACGAGGTCTTAGCCCAGTATTGTCAGCCCGGAGCTCATCGCGGTGGCGAAGACAGGCGAGCACTCGACGAGCGAGCGTACGGGAGGCCGACGGCAATGGGGGCCGATTTCCAGGTGATCGCAAAGCACAGGCGAACTGCAGACGCCGAAGCTGACCATCGCGATGCATTTCGTGCGTGCGATATAGTACACGACCGAGCCCGTTCACGACAACCGCGATCCGTATCGCACACGCGACAAGTAGAGTAGAATAAAGAATGATAACCTACTTGCCTTAGAATCCAGCGCTGTTTTCTGCCCTGAGTCGGACTGAAGTATATATCCGATAGGCCTGTTGTCTTCTTGGCCGCCATATTGGCCGCCATATTGGCCTTCCCAACTGTTGCTGTCGTGTGTTCGTCGTGACTATCTTGAAGCCAGAGATATACAGTGCGGCGTGGTGACATGTCGAGAGTTGCTCCAGATTTCATGGGTGCAGCGAAACGCAAAAGCAGCAGC